TCAATTGAGTTTGTTTTGCAGAGATCTGTGGGAAAAGGTAGAGAGATCTAAATCCCATTTCTCCTCATTTGCCTGTTGCTGTGCTCATGAAAGCTCTAGAGAGTTTTGTTTCTTCCCTGCATCTGCTAGAAGCTGGGATAACGGCAGCGTTCAAGGGACTTTCCCTTCTCAGGACAGCAATCTGAATAGGATGTATGAGTGTGCTTACACTGCGGGCCTCACTCTGCTCAGAGTCGTGGTGTGCCAAGTACCGTTGACTGTACTGGGAACTGAGTGCACTTAGTGCTTCTCAGGATCACATCTTGTATTATTAAAAGATTATAATTATGTGACCTTTTAAAAATTTATGCAGGATCACATTTCACAAAAGAAACATTTGTATACTTTCAGATGAGTAATTTCTACTATGCCCTGTCAAACCACACTCAAAGCAACAATTCCACTTAACAGAACTTCTTCACTAATGTATCCAAGGACAACACTGGGTCACCACATTTTAGAAGATTATTGAAAAATTCTATTTTGGGTTGTTCTCAAGATGGAGAAATAAAGGGAAAAGTAGATCTGTTAACCCTTTTCAAAAGAAAGTCAATTAAAATTTAATTGACTGAAATTTAAGGACTATTTTTATATTTCAAACAGCATATGCAAGTAAGGCATCCTGCTCATCGTCACAAAAGACAGTATTGATGGAGAGCAAGCAAAAATTAGCTACTGTTGCACTGACTACACTTCAAAAAGTTGTGTGTCTGTGCAATGGCATATGATTTCTGCCTTCTGTACAAAAGTTGGGAAAATATAACATTCTTTGTCTCCTTTGTGATATTTTTTAAAATTGTGTCCCATTAGACGCTTCCAGATCAGTGAAGAGTAATTCCATGTGTTTGTGTGTCTCTATGAAATCACTTGAGCAGTCAACACTTATATTCAAATGTTTCCTGGTCTTATCAGGAATCCTACAGGAAAGAAGAAAATAAATGCGCTTGACCTTAGTCTCATTCAAAACCCAATGTAAGCCCAAGTAGTGTAGAGCTGACAAAAACGGAATTTAACTTTCTGAGTGTCGTTTTTTTATTTTCCCTGTTTCCATTAAAAGTTACATGTATCCATGCAAAATAATATCTAGTAAGAAAAAGTGTTTTTCAATTAATACATAACTTCTGAATTTACTTACAAATTGTATTGAGTGAAAACAGCTACAAAATCATGAAAACATAATGAGTCTTTTGTGCTGTAGACATACCAGTAACCCATACTTAGAGGTAGGCATTCTGAGGCATGGTCAATAATTCTAACTGAATTAAATACTCTGTACCAGCCCATGGAAAATAAAGACCACCTCGAAAATAATGCATTAATATTTTTTGTGATATCTTTTAATTAATTTGCTTTCTGTCCATTTTTTTACCTTTTTACATTTGAGTATAATTTACAGTATATTTATTTTCTTCTTGACCTGCTAAGTGTCATTTAACTCATTACTTTGATTCACTTTTGCTTTGGGAATCAGTGAATACATTTTCCACCTAATACACTATTTTTTGGCTGCTCAAATCTCACTACTGTTACTGTCAGCTGTACAGTTTAAAAACTCCCTTCACTAAGCTTCTGTTTTACCTGCTTAAATAAACTTATTCTGAGTCATCAAGGCTGCTTTTCATGTTGCCACAGGATCTGTTTTCCTTGAAAGATGATCTGATTTTTGACAGCGTGTTCTTCATAATGATTAGTGCAGGGATGTTAGGTTTTAGCTTTCCTTTAATGCTATCTACTCCCCAAAGATAGAATTAAGTCTTCATTTGAAAGACGTATGTTGTTCCAGTTCTGGGGAATTAATAATTCTTTTTTTTTTTTTGCATTCCCTAATATAGCAAATGCGTATGGCTTTATCATCTTTCTTCCTAAATGATTTTGCCAAAGCTCCACATATGTAGAAATAGGTGGAAAAGACTAAAATTTAAGCTCCCTTCTTCAAATTCCTGTTTTGATAAAGATTGCAGAGATTTATTTATTTCTTCCCCCTGATTGTTTATGTGTTTCTTCCCCCTTAAGCATCACTGCTGGCTGCTTGTGAAATGTGTTTGTTTCTGTTATAAAATGGTAATGTTTAAGTGGGTTTTGAGTCTCAGGGGTTATGAGATTAGGTTTAGATTCCTGCTTCTCAGTCTGTTCCTTCATTATCAATCATAGGAAAGCTTCAGGATTGGAGGAGATTCGTTTTACGGTTATGTTCAAGTTTTGATGGAATTCCATGAGAAAAACAGGTCTCATAAAAATCTGAATTATATCAGAGGAACAATATATGTTTCTAGACTTCTCTCAGATTGAGCAGAATCAGCTCAAAAACAGCTCAAAAGATTTAATTGCTACTAATTTAGAATTTTTGAAGTTAATTCTTGTCCACAGTAACCCCATCCACAGTCTTTCACTTCAGTCTGAAGGGAAGCTGCTGTTGGTCCATCCCTATTTTCTCTTAAGTTGTGGTTGTGCAGTCTTTTTGGTCTGTGATTGTGATCTTGCTTTCTCTGTTCTTGAAACATGAGCACCGTGTCAAAGCACTGTGTTCTGTATGGTGTGACAGTGTGAAGGTTATGTGTAAAATGGACATGGAAGAGACTGAAGTTAACTTGGCAACTATATATTTGGAAAAAACAGCTATGGGAGAAGAGACCAGTGGAAGGAAAGAGAGACAGTCTGAAAGGAGCTGCCTTGAGACAGTCATGATGACAGAATTCAGACTTGTCCATGTCAGAGTTATCCAGTTCCCATATGATGATGTGAAGTTGCAGCAAAGTAATGTCTTATCAGAAAGACCATCCTGTGCTGTCAGGGTACATTTTGATGATATGACTCATCAGTTCTTCCAGGCATTAGTGCCCCAGCTTCATCTCAGTAAAAATGTTTATTGCTTCCCAGAAGGAAGGAAAAAAAAAAAAAAAAAAAAAAAAAAAAAAAAAAAAAAAAAAAAAAAAAAAAAAAAAAAAAAAAAAAAAAAAATATTCCAGAAGCCTATTTAGTGTCTGTGTTCACTAACCTGCAATGAGCTCTGTGTGAATCCTTTTGTACCAGACTTTCTCAACTGCTTTCAACCCCTCCTTTGCTTCCAGATTTCATGATCTTCTGAGGCTAGATGAATCTGGGTTCTGTGGTCTGTATTTGAGCACTTGTCCCCCTTTCTGAATGGAGAAGTAATCACACATTATAATGTAATACTGTATCTCAGTATTAACTTTTACTTAGAGATATTCACTGCCAACAGTACAGGTTGCCTGTGGAATGACGTCAGCTGCTGCAGTGCCCATACTGTTCCTCTGTACTTCTGTGGTCTTAGTGAGGGAGACAACAGTTAGCTTTTAACCTTTTCTTTTGCTTTCAACCTGGCTGATATTTTTGTTGTTCTTATCTCATTTCTGGTTTTCAACGAAATGGAAGATTTTGCTCTATATCCCTAAAATTAAAAAAACACAGAGAAGAAAAACAAACCGGATTTAATTTTTTGTCCATTAGACTTATGTTGTAATTGATGCTAAAATGTTCCCTCTTGCACACATTATTTACAGTAGAGTATATGCCATAATGTGTAGTGGCATGAGCTAAAGCTTATAAATAGAGCTGACTCAGAAATACTGTGGCTAAAGTTGCAAAAATTAGAGGAATTACCCAGACCTCATAAAATGTAATTCGTTTGTTGAACTGTGCTTTTTACAAATATAATTTGCCCAAATGAGCTCTAGTTTTAGTTACCTTTTTCTAACTGTTTTGGTTTCAATCTCTGTCATTATTTATTTGTGTTCTGGTAGCAATAATAATGACCATCTTGAATAACCTTTAGTGGGATTTTGCACAATGATAATTTTCACCTCAAATTGTAATACTACTAATACATCAGTGCCAGAATTTCAAAAAGATAAAGAAGAGGTTCAAACAACTTCTGACATAGTTACCACTGTTAGCTGAGTCTGGTAAATATATTAAATAAGATATAGTATCAGATGTGACAGGAAGTGTTGGGTGAGCTGAGAGGATGCTGTTTCGGCTGAAATCTCACATCCTCAGTCGTGTAACAGTGCAGCAGAAAGCATATAGAGAGATTGACCTCCTCTCTTTCCTCCCAGGTGAATCAGCTCCCTGGAGAGGGAGGCAGCAGGAGCTCCCTTGACCGCTGTGCAGTCTGTCCCCAGGGGGAATTGTGCCAGGCCTGGTCTGGGAAGGGAGCAGGCAGATTCCTCTCTCAGAGCGGCCACTTCTCTTGGAGAAGGGTCCATTAGTGCTGTATATAGTAATAGTCTTTATTCAGAGACCTTTTATCAGTTAGGAAATATAAACTTGTTCTTTCATCTGAATGCATCTAATTTACTAATTATGATTTCCATAGGTTTACTTTCTTACAATGGTTTTCAGAGTTTTTCTTGGCCCTTGGTGTTAGCACCTCCTTCCAGAAACCAACAGGGATCCCTGTGCGAGTGAGAACCTCCTCATGCAGCTCAGCTACTGCCTTTGATGAGAAGTTTCTCACTGGCAGCACACCCCTGTGTTGGACCAGTTATAACCACTGAAGAGGGAGGGAATCAATGATTGTTTGTGTCATTCTTGTCTTTTTTTAATCTTTTCAAATTGATTGCTAGTTGTGTTTACAGAACAAAGCTAGCAACCCTATCTTTAACAGGAAAACAATTAATATGGAAGAAGAAAGCAAACTAAACATTATTTTTATAAAGAAAACACTTTTAGGTAGAAATTGCACAGTCATTTCACCTTTGAAGAGTACATTTGAGACAGTTTTCCTATATGCCAAGATGTTTAAAAATAGATATAGTTCCTGTGCTAAAACAAGAGTTATACCTTAGAGTTTCTAGATTAAAAAAATATGTACAGTTTCTAGATGCAAAATATATCAATTGTATTACTAATATTTTGGAAGAATTACAGGCTAGTCTGTCTAATTTTATGCATTTAATTATTGACATTGTATAGTAAATCTCTCTATATGTTTGCAATAGGCTGGGACAAATGGTTATATGGCTCCGGAAATCCTGAAGGAAGAAGAGTACAGCTATCCTGTGGACTGGTTTGCTATGGGATGTAGTATTTATGAGATGATTGCTGGGCGAACACCATTCAAGGATTTCAAAGAAAAGATCAGTAAGGATGAGGTTAAAAGAAGAACTCTGGAAGATGAGGTGAAATTTGAACATGCCAACTTTACAAAGGAAGCAAAAGATATTTGCGAACTGTTCTTGGCCAAGACAGCAGAGAAACGTTTAGGAAGCAGGTATGCCTTACTTCTCAAACTCAGTAAAAGCCGGATTAAAGCTGCAAACAGTATTATTATCTTTTACGTATTGCACAAAATGAGGTTAGATCTTGACTTTCTACAGAGTATTGCATTTTCCTTTTCACTTCTAAGAGAGAGGTGGAAAGTTTTGAAGATAATATGCAAATAAGGAATTTTGTTGCAATATTGTGATTGTCCATCCTCGCCCCAGGCTACTCATAGGAGGTCCCTCCTTGGTATTTTGTGTGGTTAGACTAGTTCTGAGAGAAGGCAGAGCAGCCCATTTCTCTTGCATTTTCTTTCCTAAAAGTAAAGAATATTCAAGTAGATACCTGTATCTATGCTAATGCAGAATGAAAGCAAAATCTTAGGCTGTATCACTTACTGGAATGATGTGGGCAAAAATCCAAATCTGCAGTGTGGATTCTCTTCCTTGCAGATATCTAACTGGCAAGGCTGCGTCATTGGCTTCTTACTGAAGAGACCTTAACCCTTCTGCTTTACTCAAGTGCTTTAAAAAAACTCCTTGTAGACGTTCTGGTTTCCTGACTCGTCCCAGGAGGAAAAGAATATTGTGTGCAAATTCTTATAAAGCAAAACATTTTGGGGGATTTAAGAGGTGGCTTTGGGTTGATGAAGATTAATGGATGTGTCCTTGACTTAGCAATTTCAAGTAGCTGCTCAATAGCAAGAAAATTGGAAAGCTAAGCATTGTAATATTTAACTTGTAATATCTCTGATTCTGCCAATATATGTGTGTGTGTATATATATTAAAAATTTAGTGCAGTTCTGAGACAGACTGGGGATTTACATTTACAAAATAGACAAAAATAAAAGTAATACAATAAAAATGTAAAAAACTAATAGCAACTGATAGTACTTGTCTTTAGAATACATCATGATTTGAATATTCTATGAATGCAAATATATGTATCAGGTGCTTTTCCAGTCTAAAGGTGGAATAAACACAGGGACTTAATGAAAACTTACAGATAGTCTTCTAAATTTATATTTCATAACAATGTGGAGCAGATTTTCAAATGTTAGTTACACATTTGAATGAAAGAATTAACTTTAATGAAAGATATCATTAATATACACGTTCTTATTATTCCAGTGCTAAAGTAAGACAACTATTCTTTGTGCCTGATGAGTTTTCCCAACAACTCTGCAAGGCTGCAGAAAAAAAAAAAAAAAAAAAAAATTCAAAATCCGTATTATTTTTAATATGTTTAGAGAGCTTATTTAAAAAATAAATTTAATACAGAAGCATTTAGAACAATCCTCCGTACAAGTCAGCATGCTTTGCAGACATTTACCACCTTTTGTGAAGTAAACAAATTTCAGAGTAGGGGAAAATGAAACTTAGAGATTCTGAGCAACTTGGTCAAGTTTATTAAGCAAGTCTGAAGCAAAACCAGCAACAGACTATTCACTTACTGTAACCACGTTCCCTTTGCCAGGGGAATAATTTGCAATCGTTCTGTCTGCTTACATTATTTCTCAGTAATGGGAGAAATGTGCACAGAAAGGTAATTGCAGAGATTATTTTTATTTTTCTGCTATTTAAGATATTCTTACTCTTATGTGCTGTACTTAGAGAAGGAAAACGAAAGGATGTATACCATGGCTGGTCATGATACAGAATAAAAACCCACATGTACCTCTTAAACAGGGTGATACTATTCAGGACAGCTCATCCTTATGTAAAGATTAGCACTGTAATTCTACTAAGGACGACAAGACCTTGGGTTATCTACATAAGTGCCTGTTGCATAAGTTAAAGCTGCTCAAGGACAGCTTTACTTTGTACACCTGACCTTTTAAAATACTCCACTCTTCTATTGAAAACTCAATGTCACTGGCTAACTGAGGAAATATGTAACCCTTTTTCTTCACTCAAGATCTTTGGGATCGACACCTCAAATCCCAAATCTGTAACGTGATTTATTTATTTATTTAAGTGTAGGAATACAAAATTGATAGAGTTTAGATGAGTTCATTTGCTCTTCCTATTTAAGTTACATAAACATGCAGTTCACAGAGGAAGACCTAGCTGGAAGATGCCTCAGCTGGTTCCAGTAGATGGCGTTCCTGTAACTTTATGTTTTTAAACTTTTAATGGTTTTGGTAGTGTCAGAAAATACATCAAAATACATCAGGATGAGGAGCACTGCAGCAATTCTGGAGCTTTCACCAGCTTCTAGTGTTTTTGGTTTATGTTACAGAAAGGAAAAGCAAAAGGAAGTGAAATTTTTGTGAGTACATCTGCTCAGTAGGATTGTCGGTGCTACTAGCTCACTAGTGTCCCAAGGCAGTAGTTAATTTAAACAGCAAATCTAATGCACTTCAAGCTAACAGTGAATGTAAAAAATCACATCAGGCTCCAGAGCTGCTTGAGTACTTGGTTGTCACTAGCTATTTAAGTTAGGAGATGATTTTGCAGGACTATATATATGCAGAGGTTATGATCCCTGATGACTTATTGTATACATTCGTAATTGTGTTCATATGGCTCTTTTGGGCTGCAAGCTTCATGATTTCATTGCCCAGGCTGCCCAGATGGCAGCATCTATTGTTATTCAGGCTGTGATTTAGCATCCTGGTCACAGGTGGAGTGGTTAGTGGCTGGTGGTGACCTGCTCAGGATAACCAGGCAGCAGAGGTGAAAAATGACAATTTTCTAATCAGGGAGCTGAAAAGGGCAGCTGGTAGTTTCATCTTAGCTGTGCTTGATAGCACCAAGGCAGGCTAGAAGCATGGCAGGACAGTGTATGAGGAACTGGCACTGGTGGCAAGCTAGAGGAGCTGTTCTGTACACATGGTATAAGGTCTTGAAAAATAAAGATTTTCTGTAGTCACACAAATCTACTACTTCTATATAGTGCTTCTACACATTTGCGAAAATAAAAAGACTTTGCAGAGATTTGCATTACATTTTGTTCATAGAACATTGTCTAGAAACATATGAGGGCTTACGCTTTGCTAAGTGTATGATTTTGCAAGGAAGTGGGAATATAAAAAAGCAGCATGTTAGCCTCAGAAAATGGTAGTTGCTAAAAACCAGACAAATTTGGTTTTCCTACATTACCATTTTCAAGACCAGTGCATCCATAAATACATTTTTAAAAGTGCCTAGGTGTAGAAAATGCAGTGGTCCTCTCTGCTCCTCCTCTCACTAGAATTCAGAACTCAAACTCAGCATGCCTTGATGCTGGAGGCACAGTTCAAAAGCTGTGGTCCTTGGTCATGCTTTAACAACCATGACTGTTCTCATCATCAGAATATCCTACAAGTCTCTCTATGGGTATACAATGAAACAGTTCACTGTTTCTTTTACAGCAAAAATTCTTCCTGGGGTCTGCAGTTGTTTTTTCATAAGATGTACTTAAAATATGTATTTACAATTATTTTAGTCCTTGGAATTTATTATTGGGTTTTAACAATATTAATAAAGGGTTCTGTTTGTGACACTGGCACATATAGTTTTGCTAATGTCATAATTTGTGAATCTCGCTTAAAATCTTTGCGAATTTATGAGTGGTTAATTTTAATGAACAGACTCATTAAACTGGGAGGGTTTATTAGAGTGGCATAACTGGGTTTTGTGATGTAAATGCAAAGCTGCTTTGAATTAAGATAAAACCAAAAATGTCATTTGTCACCATTTTCCTACTCACTGTTGTTCCTTGGAGTCAGTCCCTAGTTATATTAAGCCAATGTACCCCAGTCTAGAGTTTAATAGATATTCTTATCCTAGTTAATCTAGAGCCAACCACTGGACTTCCGTTGCCCATTCTACGTAAATCTGATACTCCCCCTCCCCACCTTGCTGTATCTTCAGTTCTGGTTAAAGTCTGTCTTTGGATATGAGTGTCTCGGTGCACTGCCAGAAGCAGCACTGCAACTCTTGCATGGCACCTTGCCCAGACTGATTTACCCTGAGAGGTAATGAATAATGGTATCAGGATGTTTTCTGCTTCTCAGCTTTGCTTATATTGTGCAATGCAGCATTCTCTGGTTATGAAAAGAAGGAATTGCATTGTATGATCTCTCTCTTCCCCTCCACCCCTTTAAAATACTCTTATGTATACAACACAAAGACACACCTGTATCTATCTGAGAGCAAAACATTGTGCTGATTAACAAACCTTTGCTTTATTGCAGAAATGAAGATGATGACCCAAGAAAACATAGTTTCTTCAAAACAGTAAATTTCCACAGGCTAGAGGCAAACCTTGTTGACCCTCCATTTGTGCCAGATCCATCAGTTGTCTATGCCAGAGATATTACAGACATTGCTGACTTCTCTGAAGTACGAGGCATTGAGTTTGATGACAAAGATAAGAAGTTCTTCAAAAAGTTTGCAACGGGTGCTATCCCTATAGCCTGGCAGGAAGAAATTATAGAAACGGGACTGTTTGAAGAACTGAATGATCCTAGCAGAGATTCCGGAGGTTACACAAACGGAAGTGAAGCTAAGTCAGGAGTTTGTTTGTTGTTGTAAATATCACATCATTAACAAAAAGAGTAGAAACCACCTCAGAACTTTCCGTATTCTGACAGTGTTTCAGAAATTCAGTGCATCTGTTTAAGAACCAACAATCAGTGTAATATGACATTGACAGGCTGTGTAGGACCACAAGCTGTAGAAACTATATTATTTTCCTTTTTTCTAACAAAGGAGATAATATTTTTGTTTTATTGGAAATTTATCAAGATGCAGAACTGTATTTCTCTAAGAAACTTAGAATGATAGAAATTCTGAAATACACCAAGCAATAATAGAGTGAAGAGGCAACACCTTACAATGATTTGTTGGTTTTCTTTCTATTTTCTTGTTATTTCTACTACCACTTCCTATTTGTTCTACAGTTTTCAGGAAAGACTTTTTAATTTTTAAGTAATATTCTCAGTTAGACAGTGGAGCTCATATACTATGTCAAACTTGGAATCTTATTGATTAGCCAGTCTCTCTGTTGTTTTCTTAATTTCTGTTAGTTTTTGGGTGGTTTAATTGTAATATGTTCAAATTGTCATAAAATGTAAAAGAAGGCTCTACATATCACTAGGAAATAGGACCAACAGGATCAAACTCTTTTCAAAGATTATTTTAACAAAGTGGAGATAAGATTGCGCCAATTTCATTGAATAAAGCATTTATTTATTATTATTAAGTGTATTCTTTTAAGTGATAATGCCACATACAAAGAAAATGTATTTATCGGTAAATACACATTCTTTTTGACAATCAATTTTAAACTTTTATCAGGATTCCTGATATTTTTTATGTATTTTGGTGATAAACTAAGCTACAGATAGACCAAAGGAATTTGTAACTAGCTTTTTGTAAGACATTAATTTCGGTGCGATATAAATTTTAATTCAGTAGTTGCAAAATGCATTATACTATGAAGTGCTGTGATGGTGCAAAGGTTACATGTGCATGTTGACACTATCTTCAGATGCTCATTGATTCTCATGCAAATTTTGATGTGTTTTATTTTTCAATTTTATGACAACTTGAATTAATTGGAAACATTTCTGCAAATACTTGCTACTGCTGAAGTGTATTACTCATGAGATGCATCCTGCTGATTCTCTATGGTAAGAAAACAGGTGGAAGTTATTTGCAACAACTTTTAAAACTGATTCTGCATGCTGTTTATGGTCATCTATTTATCCATAATTTCCTTTGGCTAGAGTGGAAGTTGAAACTGCTCCCTTCCTTGGAGTCCTGGAGGCTGCTAATACTCTGTTTCCCATTTTTCATACAGCAAACCTTCTACTGAACTCAAGACTTCTTTTATATAGACAATGGGCTTGAACTCGTATGTTGTTTTTAAAAAGGAAAAACTATATATAATGGCTTCTACAGTCAGGTCTACAGTGTGCAACACATGGCTTTAGTATTTATTTATAATCTAATAGCTCATCCCAAACATTGCAGTAATCAAAAACTCTTTAGTTTTAAATACTTTAAGTGATTTAGTCACAGCTAAGTAATACATTGATAATACATTGTGGTGTTCTAAGTAGAAAAATAATTGTTCTTTTTTTTCCTTTTAAATTTGCTTTTCCAGTGCTTTATATACTTAATTTTCAAGTAAAAATCATGAAGAACAGTGTTACTTAGGATTAGTGGATAATTCTGTTCATGAATTGTGAGCATATAATTGTCTGCCTTTTGAGGGGAGACTTTCTGTCAAATAGTTTAAACAAATATAAGCTGAATTGTGACTTGGGCTCTTAATTGAGAAGGATGATCCTGAAACATTGTGAAAAGCGGAGGAGGTTGAGAGCAAAGATAGACATGTGGTTCTGTCCATGGATTTAGGGGAGTAATTCCACTGCTGACATCCAGTGATTTTATTTCTTATTGCTTCCATCTGTAGGAAGCTTTCAGAGTGGTATTAGGCTAATATATTTAAGAAACCCAGACAAAAAACTTTATATACATTAAAAAACAAATAACCCCAAAACAAAAACCCTACAAACACCTCCCCACCACCACCTTATTACAGCTAGAAGAGACCTATTAGTGCTAGTGGCAACAAACTTCTGTCCTGAGTTGGTACACCTCAAATCCATAGTAATGCCATTTCACAAAACCTCCAGAGCCATAAAACAGTACTCTGAAATGGCTGCACATTTTCTAGTGCATAACTAATTTTTCAGTACATACATGTTGCCCTGTAGAAAGAGGTTATGTATAGACAGAACCAGAATTTAATATCATGTTAGAATCATATATCCCCTCTGATACCAGGTGTTGCAAGTCTGGGTTTTTCAAAATGTATGGCAGTGCTGAGATCTGTGAATTCAGGACATTGTACGTGCATAACATTAGGTTATTTAGTTTTAGAAGTGTTATAGTGTCAATAAATCCCATCAGGAATTATATCAGTGAGATACTGTAAAGTGTTCCATGAATCATTCAAAGAAGCACATCAGAAGTCTGATAATGCACAGTCTGGCACAGTGTGTGACAGAGAAGAATGTGTTAGCTTGAAATTATTCGTTTTCATTTTCTAAAATTCTCTATTTCATAACGTGGACACCTTCTGTTTGCACTGTGAAAATACTGAGCAGAGCAGAGATTATTTTTGTATTTCTGTTAGCATTTTCAGTGCATATTTTAAAAATTAATTTCAACTTCTTTTAAAGAATCTGCAGAATGCTTGGTTCTTTTCTTGTTCCTGCCGCTGTAAAGTTCCCTGTTAAACTTTCAGGACCAAAGTTATTTTAACATCCTGTTTCACCCTAACAAAACAAAGCCAGCAATCCTGAAAGGTTTACGTGTTTGATGAATTGTGTTATTGCAGCCAATGATACTACTCATGTGAGTAAACCTAAATGTATATGCAAGTGGGCAAGATCAAGGCCCAAGTCATTGGATGTTTATGATAGAAAATGAGGGATGAAGTTGTGGGAGGAAAATAACCTTGTGGTTCTGGGGTACTTAAGTTCCTGTGGCAAAAGAAAATTATGTAATTTGAAACTGCTATTTTTGTCTTCTAGCTGTGTCTCTTTTTCCTCCTTTGCCAGCTTTGTGGTGTCTCACTTGCCTCTTTTTCAGGCAGATAAGATGCATTCAAGTGTTAATCTAATCTAAAAAACTAAATTGTGAATTTTTTGCATTAAATGCCACCTGTGAAAGGTTACTGAGTGTCCTGACCACTCTGCAGCAATTGTACTAACAGCGCTGTCTTTCCTGCCCAGTTTTACTTAGTACTGCTATTAGAACTACTTGATAATTTTAACTGAAGTAGGCTGAAATGTGAGATTCATAATGGCTTGAAATCTGTTCTTATAAGAACATCATTTAAAGTACCCTGGACAACACTGGAGAAGGGCTGCTGGCACTGAGAAGGTTTAAAAAGAGAAGCTTTCTACTGTATCTCAAGTCCCAATTTTTTTGGTACCATCCCCGTTACCCGTTTCACTGAGCACAGAGAGAAAACAAGGCTTAGTATTAACCTAAAGAAATCATTGTTCACAGAGATTATTTAGTGGTAGCAATTATGCTCTAGCTATGTGCCTTCAGTTGTGTCATGGCAAAGGCTCATTTATTCAATAAACACCCAGTGTTGCAGCAAGTAGTTCACTTTTCTATTCCAGTATGAAACAGATTTAGTAATTGGAACCTATGTGCAATTTCCAGGCTATTGAGTAGCATCCGTATTAGGGAAGGCAACGTTACGTTAAGAGCTTCTTAGCAAACATAATACTTGAGATAGTTATTTCTTCAAGCATAAACAAGTGTCAGTACAGATACCTGTATTGTTCAGTGTGGCTATCAGCATCGTTTTTAGAAATACAATGCTCATAATACTGTACTTAAAATACTGTTGCTTTTACAGCTTAATAATGTATATGTAACAATTTTCTGATCTGAATATCCACATCAATGATTAAGTATGCTCATGTCATTTACCTTAAAAAATATAAGTTGCTTATGTTATGATAATAATTTGTATCTTTTTATTATTAGATTTTTAATACCAAAATATTTAAATTCTTTTAATCTATTTATGCAGTAAGGAATTGTAAAAAATTGTTTGAATTACACGCAGTGTTTTTTCTCTATAATAGGATATAAATTAAGAATTATGATCTTAGCAACTATGGCTTATAGCACCACAGAAGCACTAAAAATTCTACTAGTTCTGGGAATTCTGCTAAAAGCAAAGCACGCTTTTTTCCCAAGTGATAAACACATCAATTTTGAAATCTAGGGATAGCAGAAATTACTGGCTTTTTATAGTATGAGACCTATCACTTGTTACAGGTAAAGAGCACCTATGACCATTGTGGCTCAGGGTGCACGTTGGAACACTGCATTATGACAGCCTTAGGGAGCTTTACAGGCACATTAAGGAAGCATGGACAGAAACTGGAAACAAATTCAATTAAGCATATGACTTTTTCTGGTTAGGCATTGCATTATTACAGCAAGTGAGTCTAAATCTAGTATTTAGTTGTAAAAATAGACCAAAAGATTAATGTTTCTTAGGAAATAATTGTTTATTATTTCTGACTTTGATTTATATGACTGTCTGAACCTGAGCAGTGCTAGTATAAAATCCTTACCTGTTAGCCCTCTGCCTTTGCAAAAGTATGAATAAACACTTAGTGGTTGTAAGGGAGTGGAAATCTTTTAGCTATCTCTTGCTTGGAAATGAGGGACAGCAAGAACATGGAGGGGTGTCACTGTGTCTCTTACAATGCAAGTACCTACATGCATGGGAACCTACAGCTGGTGACATCTGTAGGTAGCACCATTCACACCACGCTCTTGAGTTCATTTCATTTATACAACATAGTATATTGTTCTTACGTTTATCCTGCATCTGTTCCCTCTTCTGTCACCTCCAGAAGGCTGGCACAATTCTGAACAGAGCTACTTGAACTTTCAGGGAAACTTAATGTTAGTTCCGTACCTTGGACAGACAAAAGGTGCCATAAAGAACAATGGTGTTGACACCATTTCAGTCAAGTGTTACTCCAAGTGGTGAAAGGCTTTGGGGGGGAACATGGGAAAAAAACATAAGTCTCTTTGAAAGGGCTTATGGTTCTAGTTATATTCCTTCTCCTCTGGCAACTTTGGGACAGCTGCAGTGGTTAATTCCTCTCTTTCCTGTTGACCAAGTGCAAGCACAATCTGGTTTAGACATTATTTTATCCTGTTTATACTCTTTATCCATGCTTTTCAATGTCTGAGCTTTGATAGTAGACCAGTTTCTTCTAAGTGTTTTGTTTCCTGATTAATGTACACCAACATGGTGCTATTGCAATGTTTGGTAGAACGACTTACAAAGAATGAAAATTTTCATTTTTCTTCTGTACAGAAGCATTACGTGAAGCTAAACATAACTAATTAATTTTGACATGTGTTTTATCAGATGAGTTCTTTACCAAGCCTACATGTTGGCCTATATGATTCATGCAAGTTGTTCTGACAGTTACATTTTACAGAGTGGAAAGATACAGCAAGCTGATGACACACTGTAGACATGTCCTTCTGATGGCAGTTCCTCATGATGAATGTTTCTGTGACTCATGTTTTTATAAAGAATGCCAAAGGGATGACTATGGATTTATCAGTTGTTATAACTTGTAGTTCAGTTAACAATAGTAGAGTAACTGTTTAAAAAAACCAGCTATTGTACAGGAATGTTCAGTTATGTTTGCTTCGCAGGACTTCATGCAAGCATGACATCGGATGTGCTAGACATGTCTCGTGACTTTTGAATCTCTGGGGTAGAAGGTCTACTGCAAGTAAGAACATATTTGTTGTTAATCAATCCTGTCTGCAAGTATCCCTATAGTAATATATACTGTTCTGACTGAACACCTTTTGAACAGCAGTTCTTTTAAGTACATTGCTAGTCTGCAGTGCTTAGTTACAGGTCAGTCTATGGAAATACATCGATGGAACTACAAAGAGATAAATTGTTCCAATATCCTGGGCTTCTCAGGAGGATATAAAGTGGAGCATGTAGCTGTAAGTGGTTGCTTCTTATGGCTTGAGCCTGCTTCTGACATCAACAGCATGTAAGTCAGAAGTGGCTTTAGTAATATGAAAGAGAAGAAAAAGAAGTCGTGTCACATGATGCATTGAGTCAGTTCAGTCAAACTGTTAGGAACTGCTTCTCTAGATCCAATAAATGACAGTAGAGCTATTTCTTCATAGAAAGGGATGGCCAGAGTGGAACTGGAGAAGATAGTGTCTGCTGCAGGCCCAAAGAGGGAGGCCACTAAAGCATTCTTGTTTGTGCACTTCCTTGTATGAAAGAATTAAATTTATAGTATGAAGTACAGATAATTTTTGTCACTATCAGTAATAATAAGATCATGATCATAAAGAAGAACCAATTACCAATTTAGCATGTTCCTCTGTAATAAACTGGCGAAAGATGCCTGATACACAAACATGCCCAAAAGAATTTTGCTTCTATTCCTAAAACATAATACCAACAGGATATCACGAACAACAGCAGGAAACTCTGTTGAACTCGTACGGGACAGTTGACAGAATGGTAATCTCAAATATGGTATCTGTCTTGTAAATCTATTTTATTCTGTCCTAATTATGCAAGAACTATGAAGCTGATTTGAAAACAGTCATTAGGCAAAGGAGTTTTTTTCTGATGAATACGGGAAATTTTTCCTTTTGTTCTTTTCAAGGTGTCCGTTTCCTTCCTTCCTCCATACTGACTTCTCTCCTAGCCCCATTAGGACTTGATGTATTAATGCATTTCTGTGAACAGATAAGAGATTATTTTTGGCCACAAAATGATGATGGAGTTGATAAAAACAGCTACCTTGAAAATGTAATGAGAGATCAGCAATTAACGGGTGTCCAAAAAGATGAAAAATATGAAATCAACATATATTGAAAATTAGGCTATAGTTTAGGAATATTTTCTTAAGCAAAGAGTGACTGATTTTAACTCATATCTGTTCCTTAGTACAATTACTGTACATGTCTGTAAGTACACTGTATCACTGGTGCAGGCTATTTTAAGCAGCATCCACATAGAAATAAATATTCATCCTTCTATTAAGTAAAGTTTGGGGAGACCAATGTAAATATCTTGCTGCCCAGAGTGAAGCAAAAACTTAATTCTGGATATTTGATTAAGACAGCTAAGCTGTGCTACCAACACTGTGTACAAGTATATAAACTTTTGGTTTCCCATGCCAACATACTGAAAGTGAGAAATGATAGTGCTGAAATCTGGAACCTAGCATCAAACTAATGAGCTGTCAGAGCACACTTGCATGAAAAAATTAAGATGTTGCATTAAAATATATGAACTCTCTGGGAGGCTGTGAAAAGGTTGTGTAATGATTTGATATTTGTGCATCTATTGATACTCAGATCTGGTTTTATTTAATAAGTAGTAAAAGCAGCAATATTCTCAGAACTTTAAGAAACATGGGCATCTATTTTCTATAGCTGTATTGCACAACTGCATCTTTTCATCCTATACATAGGAAGAAATCAGAAAACGTTTTCTGCACTAAATGTTAAGGATACTTTGTGCTGCTTAAAATAATCTGATAATGATACATTGTCTGATAGAACCTAAGAATCAGTAGTTTCTCACGCTTTCATCTTAGTATAAAACATCCCATAATGAGAATCCTCGGTTAAATCAACCAATGGATAAATGTTCAAATACTGGTTTTCCTGAATTCCCCCCCACAGTGATTTTTCCAATTTCTGCAGCTCACATTTCTGCTTCTCTCCCCATCTTTCTGTGTCAATACTAAATCAAAAATGTTATATTCTTTTTGATGTGAATGAAAATGTGGTGACAGATGCTAGATGAAAAGTCCTGTAATTCATGAATTCATAATCCTAACCCAGGATCTACTACCCGTGAGAACTAAAACTGAGTATGTACTCTTCTATTCGGTCCTTCT